ATACATCAAGGAATCACAACTGAATCGTTTAACCATTCTAGTATATTTTTATGTATTTGAAGCTGTAAAAGCAAACAATCAGTTACACATGACAAACAAATAAATAACTAACCGGTTCCGCCTCCATTAAGAACCTGTAACTATTCTCAAAATTTTTTAAATTATACAAATACTATATTATCGATTATTAAGCTTTAATTCCATAACGGAGAATAAGGTGATGGATTCTTACCCGAATCGGTGTTCGAAACACCAAACTTTCTACTGCTCCTACTAGTAGTCCCTAGATTTTCTGAATTTTTCTACGGAGATTAAAACACGTTTTACATACTTAAAAATACTCCCAAAATCCAAAATTGGTGTTAAAAATCTTTTTTCGGCCAATTTTGAGGGTTCCGGCATGGCGACACCGCCATGCTCCAACGACGGCACCGCCCCCTGCAACAGTGTTTCCCTCGGTCTGGCTGTTTTCAACTAGTTTTAGCCGTTTTTATACCAATCCCTGCAAAAAAACACATTAGGGGCCTTCGGTTGGCCAAAAAACTCAAAAAATGAAAACCAACCGGTGGTGGAATTTTTCGATGCGATGGCTCTGCCAACTCATCTTCGCAACTGGGCATTTTTTTTCGGTCAACCTGTAAAAAACAAAACGGTGAACACAATAGTGAAAAAATCACACAAAATGGGAAACGGGAAGGGGCTCATCAGATGCAGCTGTGGGTTTTGCCCGTGATGGCTCCACAGGGCGTTACCTGCAGTTTCTGGCTCACTCGTTGTTCTTTTTGCTCTGTTTTGGCCATGGAGTTGCTCAGAATCAAATTCCGAGCAGATAAGAGAATTTTTATTTTTTTGGACGGTCGGAGGTGGCTCCGGTGCTACGGCAATCGACGGTCGACTCCTTTCTCCGACAATTGGTTCTTCTTCTCTGACGGGAGGCTGACGGATAGGGTTTGGATTCAGTATGATACGAAATATTTATACCCATCTCATGTTAATCTGCTTCGTTCATCGCATTTGATCTCAACCGTCCAATTGCGTTTAAAGAGAAAATAAATGTAGACTGTTCATCGTGATTTGATCTCGATTGTCTGATCGCATTTAAAGAAGCAATGAATCTGAACCGTTCATTGTGTTTGATCGCAACCGTCCGATCACACCTGAGGAGGTAACAGATCCAGATCGTCCACACGCGCATGAACACTTCTGGGTCGTCCGATCGCGGGACACGCGGATCGCTAGTATGGCCTCTCGCATGGCACCAAGTTAGCGTGTCTTGTCACGCGATGCACTCCGGTTCGTTGAGACTACTGACTGAGCAGTCCTACGTGGCAAAATTTTTCTTAATTGCGTTATGACCCCTAGTTTCCGATTTTTTTTTTTCAAAAACACCATCTGAACCCGAATTTTCACATCTTTTTTTCAAAATTATTTTCAATTTAATTTTCAACCTATTTTTTCTATAATTCTGCATTAAATTAAAATTTATTAATTTCAAAAATAGATTCTCATACATTTTTTAATGTTAAAATTAATCACGCACTAAATTTTGGACCCAAGTATTACATATTGTTTGTAACAGCCCCGGTAATTCATAATGGAATTTGTATTATAAATATCAAATGCAGAAGCGAAGTCAAAATTTGAATAACATCCCTTACACTAAGACCAAAACGTGCTCACAAAATATAAAAGATTAAACTACCTAAAGGAGAAACTTGAAAGTAAAAACTACGAATGTGACTATGGAGTCCTTAGGCGTCCCCTTCGTCGTCCTCCTGCGGAAGCGGCTCGGGAACGATGTCCTCTTGATCTGAAATGATTAAATAAGGAATGAGCTACACTAGCCCAGTAAAGACATCACGATATCTCACCGTCACGGAGGTAAAGGTGGGTAGAAAACACAAAAAGACCAATGGAGCATAATTTACAACAAATCCTTTTATCGAAAATAAAACCTTTACCATTTACTTACCTCGGTGAAATTCATAAAAACAATATACGAAAGCAATAACATCATCATCATCATGAAAACATATATATGAACTGTATAACATAATACCTATCACACTCTTCGTAATTCAATAGTTTCACAACATATTTTCCTAATTCACCAGCCCACTAGTATCCATGGGGATCCATAAGGGTCCCGCTACCCGTTAATCCTTAACACTTGAGATCATATTCCAGGACCGTCCCTATACCCCGTCCGGTATGGGCGCCAAACCATAGACCTCATTACCCCGTCCGGTATGAGGGTGAAACGGGCCGTCCCCATACCCCGTCCGGTATGGGCGCCAAAACACATAAGATCTCCATACCCCGTCCGGTATGGGAGACCACAATCCCGGTAGGGTTCCCTACGGACCCGGTCCGTCCACAATCTCCCAGGATATCTAGTCAGGCTGAACACATTATACAATTTCCATTCACATAATCTTTCATTCGCCTTTTCCCTCAGTCAGCATTTTCAATCACATACAAACAAGCTAAACGATAATTTATGCCAAACAGACAACATATAGTATCAACACCCCAGTCATTCAATCCATAATCAATAAAACAGTACAATATGCACACGAAACTATAAAATAAAAACATCGAACCTCATGCTGCATTGAAGACTGTAAAACAGGCCAAATAACAGTTAACCGACAAATACACTGGACTCGGACTCCATTAGCGACCTTAAGCAATTTCACACATTCGTTGATTCATGAAATACCGTTTTATCATTTATTGAACTTTAAAACCGTGATAGGAAATAGGGTGAGGGGTCCTTACTCGTTTCGGGGTCCGAACACGGCTTCACAGTGCGCCTACAGGCTGTCCCTAATTTTCCCTAAATTTTCCTCGGGGAACTGAAACGCACTACTAGTACCTGCACGTGTTCCAAAAAAATCCCAAATTTGGCCCAGGGCCCCTTTCGGCCCAAATCGCAACTCCGGCACGGTGGCTCCGCCGTGCTCCGGCGACGGCGTCGCCGCTGGCGGCGGCAATTCGCCTCGGGTTGGCTGTTTTCGGCCGTTTCCGGCCGAATTCGGCCACACTCGCATCGGTCCCTGCGAGAAAACAACTCTAGGGCCTTCGGGGGGCCAAAAAATCACGGAAAAACGGAGTTTACTGGCGGCGGCGCTCTCGGGTGCGGCGGCTCTCCGGCGAGGTTCGTGTTTTGGTGATTCGGCTCCGGTCAACCTGTAGAGAAAAGAGTGGTGATCACGGTGATATAAAATTTGCATTAAACGGAGGCCGGGAAGGGCCTCATCGGAGGCAAAAACCGAGAAGGGCGCGGCGGCGCCGCTGGGCTTCGACCGTGCATTCCGACCGTTTGGCCGGGATTTTGGCTCCGATTTGGCCACAGGAGGAATCAGCGTGGAAAAACGAGTCGGGGGTACGAAATTTACCTCGATCGGCGGTCGGAAGTTCCTCCGGTGCGGCGGCGGGTGGCGGCGGCCGGCTTCTGGTTCGTCTTCTCCGGCGAGCGGCAGGCGGCTAGGGTTTGTGGTCTAGTGTGGGAGTTCTATTTATAACCCCTTGCCTTTTGATCTCAGCCGTCCATTTTGTTTTAATCTGGGCCGTCCGTTTTTTATTAAATCTGGGCCGTCCGTGCGTTTAAATCTGGACCGTCCGATCGCACGCTTGATCTGGGCCGTCCGATCGCGCCCACGCGGATCGCCAACGTGGCCCTTTTTGGAACGACGTGGTTTTGCCACGTGGCAGGTCCCGGTTGGCCGAGACTGCTGACCGGGCCTGCTGACGTGGCTGCCGACGTGGCTTGCTTTTTTTTTTCTCGATCCGGGCGCTACATTGTTATCACATAATCTTCACTTATGGCTAAATTATTCTTTTAGATCAAGGATAATTTGTAGTAATATTAAAATTAGGTATTAAATTATTTTTTTTTTGTTAAAACTGATTTGTAAATATAAAAAATTATTTTAATTTGTAATGTTATAATATGATTTTAAAATTTTTGATAAAAATTCCTTATGTTTTTAATTTGTAAGTAAATTAAAAGAGTTTGATATTAATAAACTTAATAAAATAATTAATTTGTTTTGTTTAAATCAAATGGATAATAATAAGAGAATTTGGAATACGAAGCTTGTTATAGAAGAAGCATGTTGTAAAAATTACTTTTAATTTTCTATTAATTTTAATAGTATTATGTGTTTTAAATTATTTTTCAATTAACCAAGTAATACAAAATAATTTTTACTATATATATAAAAAAAATAAAGAAAAACGTTTTGAAGCTTTTCTATAAGTTAGAAAAGAATTTTAATTCTATAGTTCAAAAATTATATTTTAATCATTGATGTTAAGACTTTTTTTTTTGTTATTGTTAATACAATAAAACTACCTCGTAAAAATATGCCTAATTTGTGAAATAGGAGAATCAAAGTGACAGAGGCAAGTTTCAAAAAAATAATAATACAATTCTTTAATGCTTTTATAATGGAATTTATAATCTAGAATTCATAATATTTGTGGCTATACCATAAATATGGTAAATTGCATATATACAACTTTGATAATCAAATAAATTTTAATTTTATAAAAAAAATAAAGAAATATAAATATATAATATGTTAGTGACGAACGATTATTTATATGTAAAATATTAATTTTATGTAACTATATACTATATTTTATAACTTATAATACAACTTTCAATGGACTAAGTAAAATTTAATTTTAAATAAGACATCATTTTTCATCAAGATTTAAATTATATAGTTTTATACTTCAAAAATATAGCAAAGTTTAAATATGTGCTGTACATCTACTCACATAACATAAAATATTACCCTTATGTAATAACACAGATTATTTGCAAAAAAACATCATAGCAGCCAACAATTTGAAATTCTTTCTTTTAATAATTTTTTTTTTTCAATTTGATAAACCAAATCTACTTATTCCTTAAAAGAGAATATATCACAGCTTTTGGAAATTAGTACTGCTAAGTTGAAAATGAATACAGGGATTGCAATTGGCAATTTGCTGTATAAACACGCAGGTGGGATTTACAGATAGAGCTTGATTATGCCAATGATTATAAAACAAATACAACTTAATTTACATGGACAACAAGTTTTGCCTTCTGCTGAAACACTGTATCGGAGCAACGACATCGAAAACAAAATTGCTGCTTCACTTGATATTTAAATTTACTAACTAACTACTACTCACCTAAGAATTATATACATGTTAAAAATTATGAGGATGGTAGCCCGTTTTGGTTTCTTCAACCTCTAGGTAAATAGGGTTAACTGTTACAGGGGAATTAATGAACACTCATAACATCCACTGATAGGTTGGATGTGCCAAAGTTCCTATGCTTACCATCAGCTAAGTTGGCTAGCAGGTAGCCTTGATAAGGGAGTTGGTTGATGAGGAGAGTTTCCAGTTGGCAGGCCATGCTCTTGCCGGGAACCACAAAATAAAGGAAAGCGGCACTCTGCATCCCTTCCTTTGATCGATGTGCACGAACTCGGCCCTCAAGGTCATCACTCTGTCATGACAACACTCAAAGTTTTGAGTTAAAAACATGAAGCCAGCTTCAATGACAATAAATGAAATGCTGTATAAAGGTTTAACGAAGCAATCTTACTAACATGAGTGAAATATACATTCATCTCTGTATTTGGGAAGCATAGTTGCTCATGTAATTTTATGACTTACTGATGAGGTGGAATGTGTAATAAAGAGAAGAAAGGGAGTCCGTTCTCCAAATAAGTACCTGTCCAACATATAGCCGCTTGTCAGGTCTCAACATTACATATACACAAGAAGCACCTATTGTCGATGGAGGTGGTTGTTCCCTGGCAGCAATTGCAAAACAGTGTACAGCAGCAGGTTCTGACATTTTTTCAAGTTTGTAAAGCTCAACCATCTTCTTTTGACATATCATGGTTATTGCATTCTCTATCTCCTGTAAGGTTTTGGCTGTGTTTGATTCAGTCTCCTGGCAGACAGATCCAGCTCTGGTTCTACTTAAGAGAAGGGTCTTATCACTGCCACAAACACTTGTACTTTCCACTGTACGGATTCTTCCAGAAAATGCTTCTTTCCCATAAACTGACATGTAAAGGTCTTCAGCTCTTTGGATTATCACCTCAGAAATGCCTTCCTTTTTAGCTGTTTCAAATGCGAGGCTTTCTTTGCAAATCCCATCTATCAATTTCCAAGTTGGCTTGGTATGTCCATCAACATACTCCGTTCCCATGGCTTTATGTGCCACATTCTGGACAGTAAGAGGCAAATCAAAAATTCCATGCAGGTGTGTGGATACAATACCCAGACAACCAATTTTATCAAGAGTCTCAACAATGCTACCAGCAATACATGTCCCCTTTGCTGTTTCTGTCCCTCTGCAAATTTCATCCACAAGTACAAGGCTTCTTGAAGACACTTGAGTGATAATAGATCGAATCTCGGACATCTCTACCTGAGATATTAAAGCAAGCATGATCCAACTGAAGAAATTCTGAATGTATTCACTATATGATTAAAATATAAATGTAGAAATTGTGCTACACTGCACTTCTGTTTATATACTTTTTCATCATTGTGAAGAAGTAATTTAATTACAAACTTGACTAATCTACAAACAATGCATGTGAGAAAGTGAAGGAACAGCATGTTGTACCAGAGACTAAGCAGCTTGAATCATTTAAAAAAAAAGAATATCGAACTGGGGGTTGTTGGAAATGACAAGTTGCAAAACTAAACTCGTCATGAAAGAAAGAGAAAAAAAACAACAAAAAAGGGTTCTAATAGCAGCCAAAATTTAAAAGAGAAAAGACACTGATGAAATGGTTTAACCTCCACAACAGTACAGTTTACAAGTTTAAGCATCTCCAAAGGAAACAAGGAAATGTAACACATGTTCATAGCGATCCCAAATTAGGCAAAGATTCTCAGAACAGTCAAGACTCATACGTATCATTTGAAAGGAGGTAGGTTAGAAAATGGTACGTCATTTTGGTCTCAAGTATTTTTAAACCACTAAGTAAAAATACTCTCTCATATGGATCACAAGCAATGGTTTAGTAATATGTTCGCCAAATTCAAATTAAAAATGAAGTTTTAGTAATCATACTAAATAGTCAAAAGTTATCATACTAAATAGCAAATATAAATACCCAGATTAATCAAATGTAAAGATCATATTGCACAACAAAGAAAGTTGTTGAACTGAAGTTTTTGTTACTTTTTCTTTCGACATATAATAGGATTCAAATCCTCTAATAGATAGAAAAAATAAAGTACCAACAATCTCAATTTATTGCGGAGTATATCTTTTCTAATAGAAAAAAGATATATTAAAAACAAGAAGGGTGTGATCACAATGACGGAGACTAAGATATCTTGCTAAATCCTTCCAGGAGAGAACTTGGAAAATGTTAATTTATGAAATACTTCAGGTTTCCAAAGAAGATTTAGTAGATGATAGTGTAATATATTTCGGGTTTCCAAGACAGCCTTATTTGCTCCGTGTGTGGCTGGTCTGTGCGCGCAGCTGGAAATGAAGGTGGCCAGCTCTGATATCAGGTGGAAAATTTTGATGTCTTATTATTATGCATAATACACAAAACTTACATATATATACAGTAAGCCTAACTACAGAAAAGGAAATTGATATTTTGTATCCCATGATTTATGGGACATCCTAACAAAATAGGAAGCTGACTAACTTAACCTAATTCTAGAGCTACAATCTGTTATAAAAGAAAACAATACATACATATATTAATTATGTTTCCCCAAAAATATTAATTAATAAAATAATAAATTTAACTTAAATAATTGGCTATTATTCCTACAGTTTCACTACTTAACTCACTGTTTAGTTCATGGATCCATGATTCAGAGCCTAGACTAGATCAAGCTCCAATCCAAGTCTAACAACTATGAAATTATATTTTTGCAAAGAATGATGCCCCTTTGTGCCATGTGAATATATACACGGTTGAACCTTAGCATAAAGGAGAAAACAACAGTAACCTACCTGAAACGAGCTTTTTCCATCAGCGGGACTATCATATGATTTCATGTGAAGCATGATAGAATCAAAGGGGGGAATCAAGGCTGACTTGGCAGGAACCATAAATCCACATATTCCAAGTAATGAAACAGCACAAATTGATCGAAGAAAACTTGATTTACCACCCCCATTAGGTCCTGTTAAAAGAAATAATGATTGCATATCGACTGTGTTATGCACAGCACTGCCTTCTGCTTCATCAAACCAGTAAGGTGATAAGCCAATTATCTTCATCCTGGTTTCTTCTAATAATTTTGCATCCTGCACTCGGCACATCAAAATGAGTAGACATACAAATAAACATATAATAACAGGACCCCAACAACCCTAAGATGCATGAGACATGGATTCACTGAACCATTTAGATTTACATAATTAAACATGCAAGAACTCATGCCTGGGCTGGACCATACAAGAATTTCTAACGAAAATAAAGTTGATACAGTAAAAAAGTTGGTATATTTTTTTGTTCATCTTATCTTCGTAAACAACAACCCAATGCAAAATGCAAAAAGTTAAAATTTCATAGGAAATTGACAAAATAGAAGTTCTGAACAACGGATTCAAAATCCAATTTACGTATTCTAATATAGAGGGTACTCCTAAGAAAATTATGCAAAAAATGGAAGTGAAACTTTTGACTAAAATTAACTTTGTTGAAAAAAAAGGAAATAAATCATATTAGCAAGATAAGGTATAAATCGATTAGGTATATACTACCTCAGACAAACTGAACCCTGCAAGGGTAGGAAAAACCCATTTCCTTCTTCTTCCCTCACTGTAAAACACCAATGGCACTCAAAATTAGAATACTGTTCAAAGAACAGTAAAGAGCTATTGTTAATCTAGACCAGATATGACATCAAGTACAAGAAGTTTTACAAATTAAAGAAGAGAGAATTACAAAAAAATTAAAAGAACTCCACTAAATAAGATGATAGTGATATTATTTTCAGGAAAGCTCGTATATGGAGGGCAATGACATAAAATGGATTTGGCTTGAGGCCCTGGACAGCCCAAGGATAGGAAATACTTAACCACACAAGTTTGTTCAATTTAGATGCATCTATATCTTTAGTAAATGCCTCAATTCACTCTCCTGAGTTGCAACAGCATCAACTTAAAGCATAAAGCACATAAATAATAAATTTATAGAACCAGGCCATGAATAACTCATCAGGAGATAGGGTTACGATATTCCCCAAATAAATACCATAAATGATCTGTTTAAGTGGATGCAAACCCAAACTAATCTGAATAAACTCAAGTTACACTATCAAGATAGTTATTTTTTTTTCTTTGAATAGAAAAAAAATTATTATTAGGAAAAGGAGAAGAAGACAAGCATGGAGAATAAGGTATCCTCCTTTAAGACCAAAAAAGAAGCAAAAGAAGTACATATCAAGGAGAAGAGATCATCCTGTAGGAGAAAGTTTAAAGTTAGTATCACTGGACTTCCCATGCTAGTCCTTGTTGATTTTGATAGCACCCATTGCTTCATTGACGTTAGTAGTCCACCAACTCTCTCTATAAATGGAGACACATGAACATCTCTGAGTAATGGTGGCTAATGAAAAGCGAGTAGAATGGCCGAGATTATATAGGAAAGTTTAAAGTTGCACTAGAGAACACCTCTTTATGTGTAGATCAATTTGTTTCCCCCTTGAGTGGTTTCGGGGCAGTTCTCAGAGTAAATTGCCTCTGAACACTGTGGCCTGTGGGACTTTGTTGTCATGAAAATGTCTTTTAAACAGCAATGAGGCCTCATAGAACTGCAGAGAATCCAATGTCATAAATGCCAATGGGGCATGAGAGTTGCAGCACTCTCATTTGCTCAATGCCAACAAATTGACCTACAACAATTACTGACAGAGCTTTGGACCATTTGGCACACCCAGTAAGTTACCTCCACAATCCACCCGCAATCATAAAATTGTGTTGGAAGGCAATTCTAATCGGATGGTGGTTATATCCTACTGTTATCCACATCTAAAAAAGATGAGATCGATTGGCAAATAGACGAGATGATGGGACAAACAATTATCCGGCCTAGTCAATCAGTATTCCCTTAAAGAAGACAGATTGAATATAGAGGTTGTTTGTGGATTGTCAAGCCTTGAACCAAAAGATTATCAAGGATAAATTTCCAATATTAATGATTGTTGAATTACTTGAGGAACTGCATGGAGCCAAGTTCTTCTCTAAATTGGACCTTTGTTCAGGCTATCATCAAATTCAAATATACTCTAATGATTTGATAAAAAGGCTTTCGCACATGGCATGGCCACTATAGATTTTTTGATCATGTCATTTGGATTTACTAATGCAACTTTTATCCTCCAAGCTCTGATGAATAAAGTTTTCCAGCTATAATTTTGTAAGTTTTCTTGATCTTATTTGGTGATATCTTTATTTATAGAAAAACACTGATGGAACACTTGGGAAACTTGAGAGCAGTTTTCTCACTATTGGAAAGGCAGTGACTATTCCTTAGGCAATCCAAGTGTTTTTATGGCCAAACACAGGTCTCATACCTCAGACAGACAATTCTTAAGAAGGGGCAGCAGCTGACACTTTAAAATTTTAAGATAAGTTGCAATGGCCGAAACCAATGACTACCAAACGTCAATAAGGATTCCTATGATTAACCGGTTACTACCGGAAATTCATAGAAAATATTGAGTAATTGCAGGACCCTTAGTAGCATGTTTTGCAAGAATTCATTTACGGACCCTAGAAGCATCTGCAACCTTTAAACAATTAAAGAAAGCTATAACCTCGACTTTGGTTCTTGCCTTCCCTGACTTGTCAAACCTTTCATTGTGGAGTGTTATGCCTAGGATTATAGCATAGGAGCAGTTTTGCAACAAGGAAGGTGACCTATAGTCTTCTTCAGCAAAGTATTAGCATTAAGACACCACAAATTTCTGGCATATGAAAAGGAGTTGGTGGGTCTCGCTTAAGTTGTGTGGCATTGATGGCTATATCTCTGGGGCAGACATTTCGTGATAAGAACAGACCGTCATAGTTTAAAATGTCTATTCAAACAAATTGTCACCTTACCGCAACAACATTGATGGAGCAAACTGATGGACTCTGGTTTCACGATGCAATACCATGCGGCTAAGAAAAATATTGTAGCAGATGCCCTTTCTCGTTCGAAGATGCAGCAAAGGTCACTGTAATAGCAATGCCTCCATTGGACATTCTTGAAGATGTTAGAAAAGAAATTATTTCATCACAAACCTTATAAAAGATAAGAGACAAGGTCCAAACAAGAGACGGGATTTATGGTCTGTGAATGATAGATTGGTTTTCTAAAAGAAGCGAGTTTATCTCCTACCAACCTTTTCATAACCAGGGTCATGAAGGATATCAAGGAACACTAAAATGAATTGTAAGGAAATTTCCACTGGAAGGGCCAAAAGTGACAAGTGCAAGACCTTGTGAAGACTTGTTTGGCGTGCCAATACAATAAAATTGAGTAATTACAACCTACCAGCTTACTAAAACCTTTGACCGTAACAGTTCAAATATGGGCAGACAATGGCTTTCATCGAGGGACTTCCCCCATCCCATAGGAAGACAATTCTTCTGGTAGTGATTGATCCATTTTGTAAGTATGCTACTTCCTTTGGCACATGCTACAAGGCTGTAAATGTGACTCATCTATTCTTTGACTCTGTTTTGAAACTACACCAACTCTCTGAGTCCATTGTTACCAAGGAAAATGTCACTTTCACATGTTTGGTTTGGAAATAACTTTTTGGCCTATCCAAAACTAAGCTTGCTTTCAGCTACGCCTACCACCTACAGACAGATGGACAAACAGAGGTGGTCATACAGTGTCTAAACTTACGAAGGCCTTCTGCGGACTTAAGCAATCACCACAAGCATGGTTTGACAAATTTGCAAGAGTAATGATAGCAACGGGATACAAGCAGAACAAGGAGATTATAAATTGTTCATCAAGCACTCATCTTCAGGAAAAGTCATAACTCCCCAGTTTATGTAGAGGACATAATAGTAACAGTAGATGATGATGCATAGAGACAATGACTAAATTAGTGTCTAGCCAAAGAGTTCGAGATCAAGACACTATAAAGTTAAAATACTTTCTTGGCATTGAGATAACTCACTCTAAACAGGGCATTTTCATCTCTCATCAGAAGTATGTTCCTAATCTGCTTAAAGAAACAGACAAGACAGGTTACAAACCAACAAGTACCCAATGGACTCAAATCCAAAAGTTAGGAAAGGCAGAAGATGATGCAGAGATAGACAAAGAAATGTACAACATCTAGTTGGAAAGCTTATTTATTTATCTCAGACACGACCAGATATAATCTATGCTTTAAGTGTGATCAGCCAGTTTATGCATAATCCAAGAGAAGTCCACTTACAAGCAACTAACAAGTATTGCTACCTTAAAGGCACACCAGGGAAAGATATTCTTTTCAAAAGAAACAAAGGTCCAATTATTGAGGTCTACGCAGATGTTGATTATGCAGGATCAACCATTGGTATTAGACCAATCTCTAGATAATATATCTCTCTTGGTGTTAATCTGGTAACTTGTAGGGTAAAAAGAAAAATATGGTAGCACAGTCAACTGTAGAAATATAATTTAGGGCAATGGTTCAGAACTTCTGTGGACTACTATGGATAAAGATCATCCTTGAAGATTCGAAGGTTAAATGGGATGGTGCATAAAGACTCTATTGTGATAATGTGTGTTATTAACATAGTCCACAATCTAACACAATATGACCGAATGAAGTACATTGAAGTCGATAGACACATCATCAAAGAAAAATCGGAGAGCTGACTGATCAATTCACCATTTTGACCAACCCATGGTTAACTGATTGATGTGCTTACTAAAGGACTGAGTAGCCCAATGTTTCAGAATATTGTTACCAAGCTAGGAATTGAAGAACATATATGCACCACCTTGAGGGAGAGTGTTTGAAAAGGAAAGTTCATATATTTTTTTTCCTTTTGTGTAATATATAGAACCTAAATTATTTTTTTAGGATCCTATTGTGGTGGAATATCCCATTATCATGGGATTCCAAAATAATTAGGTTTCCTTTTATGAAGCTATGATGACACCGTAAATATGTGTATAATATTTTGTAACTATTCAATAAAAAATACAATTTTTCTCCACAGATTTTGCCCTTATTCATGGTCTCTCCCCCTGAATGCTAGTGTGCCTCAAACATTACACTGTGGAAATAGTAACCAAACATAAATTGAATGTATCAAACACTTTAGTCCAAAGTGTTCTTTTCTCAGCTGAAACAATACTACTAGAGCTTGCAGCAGAAAATGGAAAATATACAACTAGAAAATTTATGTACCTTAATCAATTAACAGGAGCCATGTTAATTACATAATAGACAAGATCATATTTTGCATAACAGATTCTTCTCAGGAAATGTGATAACTTATCTTTTACCTCACATGAGAAAATAACGCTTTTGCAATGACAAGCAGCATGGAAGCAAAAACAAGAATATTGATCTTAGTTTGCAACTCAGTCGAAAGTCCTCTCAACAGCTCCAATGCTCTTGCTTTTACCTTTTCACTTGCCTCATGGTACCTGGAATAGTAAGAAAAAAAATATTGCTGAAGACATTACCATATAAACATCTATATATCTTTTTTAAAACGTCAATCTACCATCAAGAACAGCAGAAACATCACATACTTATAAAAGAAACATAAAAATTATTATAAAAAACTCCCACAGCATTGTACTGAATAGCATACCTCATTAAAGCATCCTCCACTTTCACAGTGCTAAACCATTCCTCTCCGACCTTTCTACCTTTTGAATCCAAAGCTGGTCTAAGTTGCTTAATTTGTTCTTCCCCAGGAGTACCTGCCCATACTGATGGGGCAAACCGTTTTCCCTTGAACCAAACAGCCTCATGCTCTCGGGCATATAATATTTCTCCCTTTGGGCCACCAAGTGGTGCTGTCATGGCCCTTATTCTTGAAATAATAGGGAGAAAATCCTCATGCACCTGAAGAAACATTGTATACCTAAACAATGATGCATGCAAGAACAAGCATACAAACCCGAAGAGCAAATAAATTGTTTACTACACTGAAGAAAACTCAATTATAAGTGAAATGTACAGAATGGACCCTAAGAAACAGCCGAGTCCTCCAAGATATGTTGCACAATGCAACTAAAGCATGGAACTGAGAAGCAATAAAAAAAGAATTTAATTTCAGAAGCTTACTGCTAAAGATAAGGCTCCAGCTGCCTGTTCTACAGCTAGAAATTCTTCCTCTATATGAATCCTCTTCACACGGCCTTTCCACGAGGACTCCATATCCTCAAAAAATTCATTTGGAATATTATCATAGGAGCTTAGTTTTTGATCACTATCATCATCTACAATGATCATTTCGCCTATCCTACCTGAAGCCCATTCACATTCCTCAACCTGGAGTAAATTAAGAGAATTAAATTAATTCAGAAGTTATAAATCATCATGGAGAAAGAAATAAATATTAATAGAAGTAATTTCAGAAAACACCAACAAACAAGTGGAATAGCATATATTTACTTCTCTGTACAGCATGGTAAACACCATATCTAATGATGGAAGGAGAGAGTTCCGTATAAGCTAATAAAAAGCTAAAAAACAGCATCTTCCCGTACATAGCAAGAAAGAAATGAAATCAAACATTTTGAAGCAATGATGTTGTTGGGAACTACAAAAGTACATCAGGCCTCCTCTCACTTTTGAACAAATAGTCTCTGACAAATACAGACCAAAATAACAAGGAAATTGTGAAATTCAATCAGTTAAGGCAATGATGATGAAAGACCTAGAGGATGAAAAGGAAATTTAGAAAAGATATAGCACCAATCTTAACCTATGTTCGGAGTCAATATTCAGCACAGGGTTCTTCAAAATAATATATGTTTAATCACATTTACAATCTAGATACAGCTACACAGATTTATGGGCTACACAGATTTATGATTGCAAAAATAAGACATAAAAGCCAGTCTGAGTTCTGGGCCACTGAGAACTGATACTTAGCAGTACATTTCTGGCTAGAACTTTCTCACCGTTTCTTCCTGGCTAGCTATGCTAGAATATTTAAGATAATATGTGTCGATGTCTCTAAGACTACTTGCTTAAAACTTACACATGCAGCGCGGCAGACCAAAGCTCTTTTTCCTTAATCTTGTGAGGGAGAATGTATAATCCTTTAAAGTCAATAAGGAAATGAAGAACTCAACAAACTATGAAATGATACAAAATAAAACCATGTCACCACTTACTAATTTCTCAAAATCAATTTTCAAGCCAGTTGCCACCCATGTAGGGTCCATCAATGATCTCAAAATTTCATTGAGCTCCGGTTGCTTATACATGTGCAATATTTCATCAAGAACACTTTTAATTCTGCAGAACTCCACATGATTGGCCTCCCTCTGCTCAAGTAGCTTCACCAGCTGCACAAACAGAGAGATGCCTAGTAATGAGATATGGAGGCATGAATTAATAGCCTAAGGTTTATGTCAACCATGGGAATATGAATAGAAAAGAGAAATTTTGATGTAATATCATGTTTGTTCTTTCTAAAAAAGAAAAGAAAATAATGATTCTTACTAGAATCTGTTACTTGCAGGACAATTAAAACTGCCTGATATAATGGCAACAGCAATGTCGACTGCTAGAAAAGAAAATAATGATTCTTACCAGAATATGTTAGTTGCAGGAAAAATAAAACTGCCAGATAATGGCAACAGTAATGTTGACTGCTAGACATCTTATGTGCAAGTTAAATTGCTTGATAATAATGGAAACAATAACGTCAACAGCTAGACATCTCATGTGCAAGTTATCTTCACCTCATACCAGATGAATTACTATAATCACAGCAACAGCTACTGATAGTTTCAGTTGACTATTGTCTAGTAATCCTACTGACAGCCTAAAATGGTAATTAAGGAAGGATTATGGAGGGACTTCCAAATAGAGCGGACGGTGTCCAGGGTGAGTCGGAATTAGGGGCAAGTGCTGACCGGTCAAGTGCGGACTGAAGAAAGAGTAGGAAAGCAATTGTTTGATATTCAACTTACGCACCGGAAGCCCAATTTGGATGCAATTACAGTTACTTCATTGGATGAACATATTATCTACTATATCCAATTTGTAGAGCGGAGAATGGATACTTCTTTGCAGAAATACAACATAATAAGAGGGTAGAATTCTGCTGCTGATCAGGTACTTGGGAGCCCAGATACCCGATAGAGTTTACATTCCAGAGGACAGAGGAGCAGCTGGATGGCAAGCAATGGTGGCAGAACTGGAGAATCTGGAGAGGACTGGTCGGGGAAGGAGCAGGGAGCCACCAGTTGCTGAAAAGCATACAGAAAAGAAGGTTTCAGGAAATAAAAAACAGCTGTTAACACAGCTGTAGCCAGCTACACCACGCCAGGGAGGGGCAATCAGGGAGAGGTTCAATTTCTTTCAATTTTCAAAGGAGTGGGAATATTGCCAGAAAATCTACTGCGATTCCAAGCAGGAGGATTGGTGGGGGAGGATTTTGGGAGAAAAATCAGCAACTTTTAAAATTGTATCTCCAACTAACTGTCAATAAGTTGGGAAACAGAAGGGTATTATGGGCCCCAGGAACAAGTCAGCAAAGTTTGGTAAGAAGTGATAAGGAAGCTGCCCTTTTCAGCCTGGGGCCCAAAAACAGCCCACATTTAATCAGCCACCTACATGGCCCAAAAGTTACCAATGCCGGAAACCCAATTGCTGCTCACCATTGAGCCTAGAGGAGAAATCACTGCAGAATGGTTTGGCAACCCAGGAAAGAGATACCCGAATGGGTCGACGAGGAACAGAAGCAGAGGAGTGAAACTGGCAATGCAAGCGAAACTGTGGCTCAGCCACGCATGGTTTAGGGACAGCTGAAGTCCATCATCATTGCTGAATCACAATCATCTCTAACTGCCTCCTTCACACAGAAAGTTGCTGGTCTCCAAGCCAAACCATCATCTACTCACAAACCACACGGCTATGGGAAACGAATCAAAAACAGGATGAACCTTAAGGGCCTAGGTTCACACAAAGATGGAGAGAAGAGAGAAACATGTGATTTCCTTTAACTCCAGAATGGGGGAAGAAGAGAGTGATGAGATGGAATCTGAAGATGACAGTTCGGCAACATAAGCTTCTTCCTTTGACTATGGAGTTAGAGCAAGAAGGGAGCTATGAGGAGATCGGCCAAGAAGAGCATTGCAGGAGGAAATTAATGAAATGTGGAAGGGTTTTCAATTTCTGTTTGCAGAGCATAACAGGAAGATGGGTCTGGAAAGGCAATGGTGGAGGAGCATCATCTGTGTGAGAAGCAGAAGGGAGATAGCGATATGTCATGATGTCGATCACCAGAGGATGATACAAATAGCTTTCCATATGCCAGCGCAATGTTTAGGAGTCTCTTGGTAAACACTTTCCTTTGTCACATTCATTTGTTTTATCTCTACCTTTGTCCACAATAGGAACAGGTGATAAAGTGGAGCCATCCAGCAATACTTGAACTAAAACAAATTCAGGAATATTACACTTTTTTTTCATGAATGCATTTGTTACTATAAACATTAAAGATATACTTAGCAACAGTCTTCTAAAAATGATTCCTTTTGCAACTACAAAACAAATTCAGACACAAAAACAAAGAAATATTACTTTCAGAGCAAATTCAGGCACAAAAACAAAGAAACAATACTTTAGATGCATAGTTTTTTAGCGAGTAAAATATTCATAAAGCAATTGGAATATAACCTTTGCAGATGAAACACAAGTAAACTCCGGAATTGAGCACTTCACTTTGCTCATGAGTTTGCATGTAGCTGCACAAAAAAATACACCATATTGCAAAATTTGAGCAAAAACTATTTTATGGATCAAAGGGAAAACAAAAGAAAAGAACCATATATGATATCCAAAAATCATGAAATAGCTAATTCTTAATGAAGATGAAAACTAGTGGCATTTTCTGTTATACAACCCTGCCATTTGTAGCTTCCTCTCTTGCTCCTCTCAGTGTGTATTAATTATTTGCTAATTGATGAAAAAAGAAACCAGAAACATTGATTGCACACTCTGTGACAGTGAATTTAAAATCCATACTTAGATGATGATCATCTTGATCCTCCCTAGTTAACAGATATACTTCTTGATTATTGTTTCACATGTTAATAAATACCTAGATTATCATGTTTCCAAGAGTAGAGAAAAAGAAAAGTTATTGTTCGTATGACATAAAGAGAAAAGATCATAACAGATTTTCATGAGAATGAAAAAAGTTGTATGGTGAAAGTAGTGTCTTTTTTCTTTTGGTGAAATTAGTAATGACTCTTTTTCAATGAATAAATTATGTTCCTAGCATGGTGAAATTGTTAAAAATTATAAAGTATTTAACTAATGATGGAAAGTCTATATCCCGGTGCTGCAAGTTTTAACAAAAGTATCATTGTTAAATGTTGCTTAGAAAGTACCATAACAAAATGTTACTTAGACCACAGGAGGAAAAAAAAAGGCGGGCTAAGTTTTAGAAAGGAAGACAAAATTCTTATCATGACCCTTGGAGGTCCAAAAGTCGCCAACATGCATAAAGAATTAAAATAACATAATCATGTCTGTATGAAAATTCAACTCCTAACAAAGCCAATAAGATTTTAATTTTGTTAAATTTACAGGTTATATTGAATAAATCATGAATACTCTATGATCCCGAAACCAAATGATGAATCAATAGGACATATATTTCAAAGCCACCTTGAATCGTCAATGCAATCTCATAAGCCGGAGGATTGAGAAGAAGATCCCGAATATACCTAAAGATTAACACAGAAAAAAGAAAGAGAGTGAGAGAGAAAAACAATTGTATACTATTGCTTGAGCATTATACAAGTTCTTTAATTTGATGCTGATTGATGACACCTCATTATATGTCACGATTTGACCACATACCACATGAACTTTCACATAAAAGAATATAAATAGTATACTCCAAGAGCAAAAATTCCATATTTTTCTTTCGGCATTTTCCATCTGGATTCTATATGGCCTTCTAGGAGAACTGACTGATAATAAGAGAAAGGAGAGTTCAATGACCATATTTTTACAACCCAATATTCCTTTTGCTATCAAAAAGGGGGAAACAGCAATGGTAGTTTACACTTTTATTTCAGCAACCACTCATAGTTAGGAAAACTTTTTGATATACAACTCTAAATAATTTTGACCTCAAAAGCTACATGATGCAACTTTGAGATTACTTCAAAAGGTTACATCAGCCAGTACAAATAAAAAAAAAATCACAAATTTGCCAAAATAAAGATAAATCTGTGTTTGCACATGACGCATACACAAGATTATTGATGCACATGTGAGTGTCCTTCAACCATCATTCCCTTAATGCTCCTGTTTAATACATTTCAACAGTTTGCTTATATTGCAGAAAAAAAAAAAGACCATTCCCCAAGTTTCCTCCCATTCTTCACTTTCATTTCATATTACAAGTAGCATTATATTAGAAAAGATAACTAGCATTTTCATGATGATATCAGAGATCAAAGGAAAATGAAAAGGATCA